TAGTGAATATTTACAGGTGATAGAAAGACGAGGTGTAAATACAGCTGCGGCCATGACCCTGTGAAGGGGGTATTTCCAGAATTGCCAGCTGGATGATGTTATTGTGAAAGAGAGGGGAAAACAAGAGCGAATAGATGTGAATGGGGCCAAAAAGTGACATTTAATTTATGAAGAAATACTGAAAATCTCCTTGAGGTTGGGGCATTTTTTTTCAATAAAACATAATTAATTATCTTCTTTTTAGGAATATTTGATTACATGGAGCAGAAAAACTACTTTTTTTTCAATATGCAGGACCACATCCTAAAACCAATGAACTGAAAAAGCTTTTATTTACTAAAAACTTGCTAATAAATAACAAACAAAAAAAAAACCACAATGTTACATTTAGACAAAGAAGTGTAAGGTTTCCTGAAATTGGTTTTTAATACAAACACTCAAAAAACATGAAGTTGCTTTGACATGAAAACCATTCATTTTCTATTTTAGGGCTAAAATGTAAGATAGTGATACTGAGGACATTATTATAGCCTTAATTTATTATGTCTACTCTGTTAAAATTGAAATTGAATGCATATTATCAAAACTTCATTTATTAGTTATGTTTTATCAAAAACTGGCTTAATTAAAAGAAACAACCTTTTTTTCTAAATATCAATATTAATGCATTAATTCTGACTCAGTGAAGGGTTTGGCTACATATTACTTTTAATTTCAGCTATTACATTTAATTGAACACTATTTGAGGAGTGTTTCGACACACTGTGGTAAGATAAAGATTCACGTTACAAAACACTAAATGGTTCTAAGTCCAAACAGTGATGGACGTCCCATTCCCGGACAAAGGGGCAACAAGAGCCCTGATGGGTATAAATAGTGGGGTTTGTTTCAGACTCGACACTCAAAACTACAAGAGGCTGATAAAGAAACAGACACATTTCCATACATTTCGATTATCCTCAAGATGAAGAGCTTCACCGTTGCAGTAACCGCTGCCATCATGCTGACATTCATCTGTCTGCAGCAAAGCTCTGCAGTCCCACTCCCCGAGGTAACTGCTTCATCACCACCACCAGAGTTTTTTTATTCTGTCTAAATGTTAGAATTTTGCATCTGAATGGGTGAAAATGTGTTTTACAGGACCACGAGCAGGTGGAGCTACTGGGTGAAGGACTTGCTGCAGATCAAGATCTCCAAAAGGAATCATGGAAGGTGGGTTCAGTTTCACTATGGAGTTATATTTCTTTAGCTTTTTATTTTTAACACAGCTGGGTGCCTTTTCATGTGAAGAAGCCCGATGTTCAGAAAAAAGTAAAAGTGACCTACCAGTCTGTAAATGAGCCTGTTCTCTACCTGTCTCACCCAGATGCCGTACACCATCAGACAGCAGCGTGAAGCTCGCGGCTGCCGTTTCTGCTGTGGCTGCTGTGGCATGTCTGGATGTGGTGTTTGCTGCCCGTTCTGAGAGAAATCCTGGAGTTATTACAACAGCAACTGTCTGCAGAAACTCCACATGTATCATCACACCTGAGATCATTTAAATTTGATGTTTTAATTAAACTCAATGATCACTAAATGCTGAATGCCCCTCATTTCTGTCATTGTACCATTTTCATCTCTGGTCCTCTACTGAGTCCTAATGTCTGAGTGTGATCCAAATACTAGCATTCAAATATGTCTAAACAGGACATTAGACTGTTCAGTCTTACATAGAATGTAAGAGTTTTTTTGTTGACTTTTCTATTGAAGGTGATCTTATCAGGACTTATCACAGACTTTAAAAATGGGACCCAGTGCCTCCTTGCGTGACACTCAGCATTAAGGGGTTGGATTAGGGGGTTAAACCACCAAACGGTTCCAAAGCGCAGCCACTGCTGCAGCTCACCGCTCCCCACGAGGATGGGTCAAATGCAAGGATGTAATTTTATCAGTATGTAGTGACTAATGGCACTTGAACTTTAAATACAGGCCATTAACATTTTACCCTTCATTGTAAATATGATTCCTTTAAAATTGTTACCTTCATAAAACAGTAAAAACTAACAAAGCATCTGTTATTTATTGAAAACTGACTAAAACAGAGACATTCAGTGTATTTCAGAAAATTCTTAGTAGCAGGTAATTAAATTAGATACATAGCATGCCATACACATCATCATTTATTGTTAATTTCCAAAACAATTCTGTCAGGGTCATAAAAGGCCACAGTGAATGAAACATTTGTTTCATCCTGCTGAGATGTAGAGTCACAGCTGCTGTGGGGAAAGATAGACAGTAAATAAAAGATAGATTAGTAAACAAACAAACATGATGTGGTGTCGAGCTGGAACAAAAAAAATCCCAAAGGAACTGATCAGAGTGAGCAAAAGCTGTGAAATCTAATAAACTTTAGGGTGATAAACTTAACCCCATATATACACAGCAGCAAGCAAATACAGACAAACGAAATGATGTTATAGGGCAAAACATAAAGAATAATAACAAAGAAACAAAAATGCATAAACCTTGAACACAGTGAGGTTTTCTGTCTCTTTAGTCACCCAACTTTCACAAATCTGGAAAATGCGGAATGATTTGAAGATTTAAAAAATTAGAATGTGACATTTTTTAAATTTGAGAAAAGAGACAACATATTTGCTGCCTGTTAAATTCAGATTAGATTTTAAGATCCTCCTTCTCAAAAATAAACCCATCAATAACCAAGCTCCATCATACATTCATGATCTTATTGTTTCATATATTCCTAAAGCCTGGATACGATTTTTGGCCGTCGCACAGGATTTTTTATGTCACACTGTGAGAATCCCAGAAAGGTGGCGCTGCACGGCACAAGACTTCCGTGAGGCAGACTGCACGACGCCTCACTCCCGCAGGACACACAACGTCATGAGCACACCTCCAGAAAGCACATGTCAGCAGACCATTAAGCAAAACAAATGTGAAAAGATCAAATAAAGTGCCTCCGTTGACACTCCTTACTTCTTTTTAGCATCAGCTCATGACCCAGCTCATCTTCCTCAAAGATAAAGCATCGTCTTAAAAACCTTCGCTTTGGCCTCAGACTCCAGCTGCACGTCTCCTTTTCCCGTCTTCCAGATAAACAGCTGAACTGTTTGTTGGACATTCATCCTTCAAATTCCCCGTAATAAATAAGAACCCACTAACCTACAGAGAAGTAACAATCTATCACAGATCGCTGCAAAATCTAAACTTTTGCCGTGAATTCTGTCTCACTGTTTACTCCACAGCTCCGCTCTGTGAGCTCATCACACCCGCTGTCATGAGCAGAGTATCCTCTCTCTCTGCAGCAAAACGTTACTGAACCACCCTTATTGGCTGAATATGTAAAATTTCCATCAACAGCAAAGGAATTTCATGTTTTTGTGTTTTAATTTTTATACTTGTGAGCTCATCTCCTCTCACTCTCACAGATCACAGAATCACGGTTTTCACAGTTTTTCTGACGGTCTACAAATGTAGGTTAATTATTTTTAGTATAACTCCTGTTTAGCTTGGGCTATTGACAGAAATATAAACTGGTATGTAGTTTATAATCCACATTTTAAACATATATTAAAATCGAAGCTCAGAGAGGCAGTCTTGCTGCTGCGGCGTCCCAAAGGTGTGTTTTCATTGGTCGATTGCAGACAGGAGTCGTAGGTTTTCAAGCAGTGCTTGAAGACTTTTTGAGGCTGATTTGTTTCTGAGACGGCTCAAAAAGCTGTCGCAGAGCTGGTCACACTGTACATTCACAGCATGGTACACACAAATCACCCTGACTTTGACCATTTTTTGTCACGATTCTGCTCAGGACGAGGTATTTGGCAAAGACGACCAAAAATCGTACAGTGTGACCTTGGGCATAACAGAGCACTTTGCTCTCAGACCTCAAGTTTAGAGGTGGTTCCTGGAATATCTAGAATATTCATCTAGAATAAAAATAGAATGGGAAGCAGATCTTTTAGTTATCAGGCTCCTCTCCAGTAGAACTAGCTCCCAGCTTTAGTCCATGAGGGAGACACCTTGTCTTCTTTTATAACTAGGCTTAAAACTTTTTTTAATTGACAGGGTCTATGGTTAAATTCTGATGTTAGCATAGATCTGGACGAGTGGGGAAGTAGAGGGACGTGGAGTGTACAGTGGTGAATACAGTAGGTTGAGACGGCTCTCCCTTGCCCTGCCTCCAACATGCCTCCATCTTAAATACTAGGTTATCCAGAGTTATCTCTGTTGTGCTGCTGTAGGCTTAGACTGCTGGAGAACATACTGACCACTTTTCATACTCTACTACTTTCTTCTACCACCTCTCTCTAATTGCATTGTTTTCTGCTATTTCTGCTGTTAATCCTCTCAGGCTCAAAATGAGTTTCAATAAAAGGACTAACAACTAAGTCCTTTAGGGGTACTTCTGAGTTAAAAAATGCTCATGAAATACATATGTGGAGCAACCAGGTATGGTAGGTTTTAACGTTGCAAATCTGCAATGCCTGCCTCCAGAGGGTTGATTTTCTCTCCAAGTGTTTTTCTTTGTCAGAACAAGCTGCAATTGTGTTCTGCTGAGCTGTAGTAGCCTCATGGAGAGGGCCATCGGCTGGCACATTACTGCTAACCACTTAACATTCTGAGTGTGTGTGTGTGTGTGTGTGTGTGTGTGTGTGTGTGTGTGTGTTTGTGTGTGTGTGTGTGTGTGTGTGTGTGTGTGTGTGTGTGTGTGTGTGTGTGTGTGTGTGTGTGTGTGTGTGTTGATACATTTTCAAAAGGAAACAAAGTCACCTCTATATTTATATTTAAAGGGTTAATTGGTGAAGGAAATACTTTATTTTAAATCCCAGCAAAATAAATCATTGTTTGACCTTTTTATCTAAACATTCAATGATTAAAGTTTTACCTCATGTCAGATTGACCCATCTTTATTTCTACAAGTGGGAAATACCTCCATGCTTTAACTCAGGCCTCCTGATGAAGCAATGTGTAGCTCAAAGAGCATAAATACCTGCTCAAGCTGCACATTCAGTCATCTAAGAGGGAAGACAGCAGCTGACAACAATTACCAAGTTCATAGTAAACCTGCTTGGTTTGGATCTATTTGTTTTTCCATCCTGAAATGAAGAACTTCATTGTTTCAGTAGCAGTGGCCGTCATGCTCACAATTGTGTGTCTGCAGGAGAGCTCTGCTGCTCCATCCACAGAGGTAAAAACCCCTCTGTTCTTCTCTATATTCATATCTAAATTTTAAAATGTTTTAAAATTCATTTTATCTAAATGTTAAAATGTTACAGGAACACAAGCAGGTGGAGGAAACTATGGATGGCGGTCCAGTTGCTGTGTATGAGGAGATCTCAGAAGGATCAAGGATGGTCAGTTTAGTTCACTGAATGAGTTCAAATGAATGCAGTTTTTAATTTGTGACGAAGCTAAACACTTCATTACAAACCGTCTTGATGCTGTTGAATCTGTGGAATCAGGTTGAAACGGTTTTCTGATCTTTTGGACAGATGTCATACGGCTCGGTCCAGAGGCAGCGCCGCTGCCGTTTCTGCTGCAGCTGCTGTCCCAACATGACGACCTGTGGCGTGTGTTGCAGGTTCGGAAAAGAGCAGCAACATCTTTGAGTTTTAACAACAAAAGAAATCATGCTTCTCTACCTGCTAAAATACAATTGTTGCCATATTTCTATGTTGGTTGTAATTCCTTTAAGATGTTGGCATCAAATTTGTTCTGTTTGCATCATCCCAAGACTTTGTTAAACACCTTCAGACACTCCAGTGTGTCATCGTGTTTCTTTTGACCCTTAATAAAATTCACTGAGCAATGCATCCAGAATCTCTCTTTTGCTTTGACTTTCATTCCTAATGACTGACTCCTCTCTCTGGAAGGTCATGAGACCTAGATGTGAAACTTAAGTTGAAAAATTAGACCAGGGCTGAACTGGCCATTAGGCAAGGCAGGCCTTTGTCTGGTGAGCCAACAGTAATTTAGGGCCGGACCCTGCCAGGTCCTTTTCCAATTTTGGGCCAGCCCAGGTCTCTTGTCAGTGGACCTATCAGATTTATTTGATAAAGGGCTGAACACTCTCTCTGAGAATATAATTTCAAAAATGATCTTTTTCTCACACCATCATCATGGAATTGTCTGTTGTTTATATCAGCCAACTCCTTCTATTTCAGTCGTGCCGACCCTCCCTCAACCTTCTCACCCTGCAGCTAGTTCATAAATGTCATCCTTTAATTTTCGTCAGTATTTGCATTTCGCATTTCAGTAATGATAATGTTACATTTGCAGCCTGTTAAAATTAATAATATTTTTTCAACATTTACAAAAAAAAAACAAGCATGCTGGGAAATGTCTCCATTCAATCAGTTTAATGCCATCATAGATGGCATCACCTTCAAACCAACTTCAACTGAAGGTATCTTCTTAGCAAGCTGGAATCCCGGACACCCAGAACTGCTCCCAACATGTAAGTGCCAAAAAATGTAGTTCCACCCTCATCTAAGGGCTGGCACCAGATATGAGCAAAAACATTTGAGGCTTAGTAGATCTAGTTTACAGTCTTGACACCTCTGAGGGGGGTGATTTATTTGCAACTTTCCTGTTTAGGTGTAATTAAATGCTTGAAATTATGAGGCCATTTACCATTTATGCATGTATGTGTGTGTGTGTATATATATATATATATATATATATATATATATATATATATATATATATATATATATATATATAGTATATATGTATATATATATAATTTTTTTAATATATGTCTATATTTTCAGTGAGGAAAAGCTAATAAGCCTTTAGTTCAGTGCAGATTTTTGCAGTACAAAAAAGAAAAAAAAAGGCTGAAGTGTATGTCTGTAATTTAGAACTTCCTTGGATTGCACTTAAATTCAGTCTCTGCAGCAGTATTCTGAGAAGTTCCAGTTCAGTTCGCCTATCTGCGCTTCAGATGCATCTGAAATTTTCCCTTTGAGACATGAGAACAGAATGAGAGGACTGAATTTCCCCTCTTTCATCAGTACACTTGATGTGCAGAAGAACAGCAAAGGAAAAATCTACATTAGTGAGTAATGTCTGCTATTAATCAGCTGATCAGGTTGTGGTTGAAAGCTACTGTGTGTGTGTGTGTGTGTGTGTGTGTGTGTGTGTGTGTGTGTGTGTGTGTGTGTGTGTGTGTGTGTGTGTGTGTGTGTGTGTGTGCACCACATTGTGGGGATAGGTTTTCACATTTAACCTGTAATGTGGGGACATTTGGCTGGTCTACAAAAGTAACCCTTTGATGCATTAATTATGAAATCTTCAACCATGATTTTTTTTAACATTTTTTTTTCATTCATCTTTAGGTGTGGATGAAACAAATTTCAACAAATATTTTTTGTAAAATTTTATAATTTACAAATAATTTATTACATGTCCACCTCAGTGGGCAGCGTGCATTCTGAGCATGAAATATGTTGGCTTGGCTTACTAAAGTCCAAATGGAGGGGCTCACATGCAATAAAGTCTTCAACAGCTGTGCTTAATAGCAAAAACAAATAAATAACAATTTTGAGTGCCTCTCCACTGTAGTGACCATTATGCATCAAAGGGTTAAAAGGAAAAATACATTTTTAGTAAGGGTTAGGGTTGGGAATAGAACAGTGGGTAGGGTTAGGCATATTACAGTCATTAGAATGAATGGAGGATATTACATGTATATCAATGCATGAATGTGTTTATTTGGAATCTGTTTTCATCGGACTCAATTAAAAATCTTTAAACCAACAACTGAATAAAGACCGGATCTATAATGTAATAGAAATATTTTCACCACAACCTCAGGGGCTCATCTCTTTGTTCCCGGAGTGTTTGAGACATTCTGCATCTTTGATTCATGTCTCTGGTCTAATGAGATCACAAAATCACTGGTGAACTGCAAACTCACACGGGATTTCACCAGATCACATTAAAAACAAGGAAGGAGGAATAAGTTAATGCATCCAAGAAGGTCCGCGATTTAGTTTTTGAGCTCTTTACCTCCAGCACAGAGACTTTTGTTGTTTCAAATCAAGCAATATGAAATGTGCGGTTGTCTTTTATTTCAAATGTTGCTGGAGGCTTTAAACCGCTCCTGTGTTTGATTTTCTGCCTGGCCCTTCTGTATTGCTGAGTTTGACGTCTTCTGGATGTGTAGCGCATAAGAGTTTTACCAGAAGCATACATTGAGCTGAACACTATGACACTTCTGGGATGCGCTGTTTTGCACCTGGCGGAAACACACCCACTGACTATAATGGTGGCTATTAGCTGCATATGACACTTTGCAGACATTGCTCAGTGTCCAGTGGAACTTCAGGGTAATGCTCTTGTCTTAAGTCTGACTAGCTGTTAGCACATCAATCCTGTAGGATGTCAACTTTGTTACTGAGGTCTTTCAGGAAGCTGTCTCCACTGGGTAAGACAGTAAATGATATGATTTATATTCTTCAACATAGCCCACATTTTCCTTCATCAGTAAGAATAATACATTAAGCTGCACCTTTAAGTGACAAATGAAGGCTGTTTCCACTAAAACAGGAAAATTAATGATTGAGCAGAGGGAGAAGTTCATTCAAAAGTCCAACAATCTCCACTGTTTGGAAAGAAGAAAAATTGCCAGTCAAATTCCTAGAAAACATCTCAAGCCCAACGCTGTAGGTTCATTTTGTGATGATGCAACAGCTAGTGAAGTGAATGTAGACCCCAGAGCTTTCTGCATGCTCAGCCATCTAAAACAACTTAATCCAGATCATCAGGATCCAAACTTCAGCCTCTCCAAGCCTCCAGAGATGAAGAGCTTCAGTGTTGCAGTTGCAGTGGCCGTCATGCCATCTGTCTGCACGAGAGCTCAGTTGTCCCAATCACTGAGGTGATTATCGAACAGCTAATTGTTAAAAATTAGGTGAAAGTCTTAATATTTAATGAACACATGCATGATGTGGAAACTCCAGTGACCATTGACACAAAGGCTGCTGCTCAGGAGGAGACGTCTGTGGACCTGTGGAGGGTCAGATGAGTGAACAAGTTACGCTGGAAACAAACTGTTCTTATGTCTTGTTTGTCTAACAGAAGCTGATTAACAACAGACGGAAGTGTGCTGCTTATTGTGGTGTCTGCTGCACTGGAGGCGTTAGATGCCGCTGCGCCTGAAACGACGTGGGAGTTTCCTCCTCCTGAAACACCACCATTGGTTTTCTACAGCAGGACGTTTTTCCTAAAGTCGGCTCTCTGTCAGGACTTAAGCTTTAGAAATGTGTTTCTACATAAAGAAATCAAATAAAAACTCTTTGCAGAAATGTGGTGATTTTGCACTCAAACAAATCACTCTAACACTTTACTAAGTTTGTCAAAAAGGGTTTAATTTGTGTAAAATAAGACATTTAAACTAAGATGGAAGCTCCAAAATCAGACATAAAAGAAGGAAAACGGCTCATTTACAGCTGAAAGGATCCGATAACTTGAACTAGGCAGTTTGGGCTTGCTTAAGTTTCTGTAGATCTGAAAGCAAAACTTATCTCTTCGCTGTGTGTTTGTGTTTTTAACACCTTAATCTAACAGCTGAAACATCTCCCAGTCTTCCTTTGTGTTGTGAGTCATCGCTAAATTAAACTAATCAGCTGTGATCATGATCTAAAACATGCAAGAAACATGCTGGAACCAGACTGCAGCACCAGCTATGTCATTTCCATGTTTTGTCCCAACAGAGCGATGTAGTGTCCAGATTTAAATGTTAGGAACACTCCTAAGGTGAAAAACGACATTTGGTTGGGTCTTTAGCAAAATGGCTTCTTTATTAGAACAAGAGCAGCACAAAACAGCGAGATTAGGAGCATTTCCTCTCCTAGAACAGTCCTCCCGGGGCTTCTTGTGCCCTCTATAGGAATGACGGTGCCACTGCACCCAAATGTAAACGCATCAGAGCATTTAAAATTCCCAGACACCACAGCTCCTCCCCTGTAGCTCAAGAGTGAACTTGTTATTCATCTTTGTTTGTCATCATCTTTAACATCAACTCAACTACAATGTTATGAACTTATGACCATTGTGACAGCAGAACAGAAAAAAAATACTCGTTTTGACATGAAAGTTTGACATGAAACAAAATAAAAAAATCGATGTATCCTTGGATACAACATCTCTTTTTGCTTAATTTTAAAAGTCATTAAACAATATGTTGTTTCAAAAAACACCAACTCCTTACAAGTCCAAACGCTCAGGAGGACATACATTTCTTTTAGGGCGCTCTCTAAAGGCTGGAATCTGCAGTAGCTGCTAGAGCTTGGTCAGTATCAACTGATCCCTGGTTTTCCTCAGAAAAGTGCTCACTCACAGGAGTAGTATCAGTATGTCCCAAATCATCTCCAGGATCATAGTGGTAATCCCAGTGTTCTTCAGTTTCATTCGCCATCTGTTCTGGCTGTCCATTTTTTCTCTTTGCATCGAGCGTCTGGTTCACAGGTCTTTTTACATTTTTCCCATTCAAATACACCACATATGTTACAGGACCCAAAACATCAGTTATCACACCATCCAACCACTTCCCTCCTCCCCTGAAGTTTCTCACCAATACGGCCTGACCCATAGAAAAGGATCTCAGCCTTTTCTTCACAACAGCCTGGGTTGTAACACTACTTGTTCGAGCTGCATCAGGTTTTACTAGTGAAAGCCTTGTGCGAACTTGCCTATGTAAAAAAACAGTTTGACTGGTGTTTTCTTTGTAGTGGTGTGTGGCATGTTTCTGTAGCTGTACAAAAAGTTGGTAATACAATGTTGTACTGTCATGCCACCTGCAACTTTG